TTTGGCTTTGTACAGTGTGAGACAAGTCCAGCCCTTCACCAGCGCTCCTGCTGGCCTCACAGTGTCTGCAGAGTATGGAGGAGGACAAGAAAGGTCAAATCTCATACAGGTTGGATGTTCTGATAAGCTCAGTTCCACAAGTAGATAAAATCTCCATCCAGAGTCCAGCTGGATAAGTCAGTCTTGGCCTGACCACCCACTTTCAGAGGGATTTTTTTTTCCTTTCTAGCTGTGCATGACAAGAAACTGCCTTTGGCATCTGAAGGCTCTCCACTCAGAATGTAATTACAAACTTCAAAACGGTGGTTAAAATGCCAATGAAGGACATGATTAGTTGCAAGCCTGCACAGGTCTGTCTAACAACACACTGCGGCACGCTATCTTAGTAATTGATCTAACCCACCCCCATTTTTACCGCACAGTTGCAGCAGTTTGACTCAACCAGCTTTTCTGTATACCTTCAGGTCAATTCAGATGTGGATGACAGAAGATGAAGATGCTATACTGAAGGCAGCTCTCTGTAAACAATTTATCTGCCAAAATCACCCTTTGCAACAGAAGCAGGCTCAATTTCAGCATGTGAGACTTCTTGCATGTGTACCAGTCTTCAGAGTGCTTCCACTTCAGCACCTCTGCTTTGATTTCCCCTCACTGAGCTAGCTCTGGTATGCATTACTAAAACTACTCTCATAACTGCTTCTGCCAGAAGTTCCTAATATTATGAGGACTTCTAACCATCCCTTCTCACTTTCCACAAGACATCCTCCGTCCTAGAATTGCCCCAGGACTCTACTGAAGAAAAGAAGCTCTTGAGCAACTTGCAGAATGGCCTCCTCCATTGTTTCAGAAGAATTCTTTTCACTGCATTCCTCAGGCTGTCATGAATCTTCCTCTTGCACAACCAGCTCTTCCAGCTTGAGCAGAGCTGGACCTGTGGTCTGTGACTTCAGACAGAGCAGTCCATAATCTAGGTTTATGTTACACATGTGCGTGCACGTATGTGCTAAAAGATCCCTAGAGTTAAAAAGACAGGTTCTTGAAGAAAAAAGCAGGAGCACGCCAGTCCACCTTGCCCAGTTATTATGAGGCAGTTTTTACTTAAGTACTGCCATTTCATTTCTCTACTATATTTTGGATCTAGTTTAAGAACCTAATACAAGCAGGACCTGTGTGTAATATGAAATACTTCTTTTCACTAGCTGTTTACTGGAGAAAATTAGCTTTTAGTTTTTTGGGACAATCTCTATTAAACAAAGTAGCAGCAACTTTTAAGTCAATAATGCAGTTTTCTTATTCAGTAACTTTTTAACCTACCAATTTTTTTATGAAAAATTATGAATGAGAGGTTCCCGCAGTTACTTAATTGGTTCACTGTTCTTCCGAACTTACATGTACAGTGGGGGAAAATTATTTTCCTGTTCTAGAAGTTAAGTTTGAATGCAACAATTTGTGTGTTTCTTGCATTATATGATTTAGTTGATTTGCCAAAGTTATGGGATGAAGGATAAAGAGGGAGTGCACAATAGGAAATGAGAGCCCACTAAATATCCTACAAGCAACTAAAATGTAACATTCTAAAAGGGTGAACATTACGTAGTTTAGGCAAAAATTCTTGGACTGTGTTATTAGATGAAAAATAATAAAAACCAGCTTACATAATTTGTTCTTGTGTAAGACTGGGAAACAAATAGTTCTGGTGTTATTAAATATTTTCAATTTTGGCAAATTGAAGGAAAATCTATTCTTTGTGGCCCATTTCTGTTGCAAACTACATGTGTGCTTGACTGTGTGCATACAAACAGGGCCTAAATATTGTAGTTGTAAAGAGTGAGCTTCTAGCATACTATAAAATAATTACACACAAAGTAATGAGTGGGGATTTCTTTAGAGCCCTCCTAAATACTCAGTGCTATAAAAACTAGTGAGAGTTGCAAGAACCCATTAACTTACATTAAACATACAGTAAAAATTGTGGAATTAATATGTTTGTGAATTGAAGATGTTTGTTGTTTGCCTCTAATATATGAAAATTTTCCTTAGTTTTTATATAGGTTGGTTTAAAATAAAATTGCATTTCATTAGTTTATGTGCACACATTTTTTTCTGTAAGTTTGTTTGCTAAAGCTGAGACTGCTTTGTTCCTTGGAACCATTTTGTTGCAGAGAAGACGTGCAACACAGGCAGAGATAACAGAGTACCTGTGCATCTAAAGCACATCTAGTCAACACAGCAGCTCTGTTGCAATTTTATGCATGTCTGTAGTCACAGTGGATGTGGAAGAACTTGCTTATGGAAACATAGAATAGTAGATGAATTATATGTGTGTGTATGCATATACACGTCTATACTTTTTAGGAGACAGAAATGATCCCTGTTGCTGAAGCCTGGGGAGATGATCTGGTGTGGCAGGAATGTCAAAATCACTGGATACGCCCTTTCCTGCAACAGGCAGAAAGGGAGGCTAATAGCCACTTCATACTGAAAGATGCTGTTTCTGCTACCATCAGTAAAATGTGTTTTAATCGTTAGAGGATAAGAAAACAGATTTTTTAAAAAATAAAATACTAAAAATAATTTAGGCTTCTTCTATGCTGGAGTGCATCCTGGCAGGTGAAAAGGAATTGACTGCAGATCTGTTCTGTGAGGGTTGCCTCAGTGGAAGTGATTACGCTTGCTGTGTGCTAATGAAATGCAATCTTAACCTTTGTTTCCTAAAATTTTTTCATTTTCCATATGAAATATGGAAAATATGTTTTTTCATATTCCTAAATATGAAAAAAAACTTGGGAGCAGAATTTATTGGCAGAAAATGTTGGTGCATGAAGGCAGTCAACATTTTAACGTCAGTTCCTTACTAATGCTTTACTAAATGTCCATAAAATGACCATCACACAGTTCTTCCCCACTTGGAGCTGCTTCCAGCCTCCATCACAAACCAGCTCCTTGGTCCCATCAGCTGGCCCAGGCCCCAGCCAGAACCACTTCCTCTCACATTTCTCGCACCCCTCTCCACGAGCCCCTCATGAAATCAGCAAGGACAACATACACAACCTAGTTTTCAGTCCCTACTTTGATGTTACAGAGTAAAAAACGGGTAAAGAAAAAAACACCTGACACTTACCTTCACAGCTTGCATGTTCTGTCAGGACCAAATCAGCTGCCCTAACCAGCTGGGCAAAGCAGTAACTTGTACTGTAATAACCTGCAATCACTCTGCTGAAAAATCCTGAAAATTCCCTAGTGAAATTTCCTGAAATCTCCGATAGCTATTGCAGAACTCTGGAAACTATCCTTAATTTCCTGTTTGCTTCTTCCAGGAGGGAGATACATCACATGATGCTGGTAGTGCCTAAACTGACCACTGAAGGCAAGAGAAGAATTTCAAAAGGAAACATTTCTGCTAGAATTTAATCAAACAAGATTTAAGGTCATCCAGAGGCTGGACATTGAGACTAGGCAGATATCAGAATTAAAATAAATGCATTTAAAAGTAGCACTACCAAGTAACTTGGTGTGGTGGGACAATTTCTTACGTGGCAAGTCCTTCATTATGGTTGCCTGGTTCAAGACTTAATGTCTAAATTTAGAGCTGAAAAACAGGAAAAAGGGCTGAGGCGGGGCTAGCATAGTTTTTGGCTGCTGTTACGATGTTATAGTCGAATATATATATTTAATAATAGGACAAATTGATGTCTAAAATACTTTAGACTATCTTTAAGACACAAGTTTTTGGAGAACCTTCTACCACAGAATGCACTACTTAATTTATCTTTCATTTAGAGAAATTTCCTATTTTTAGAAGTGTCAGAGATGTGCACCAGTGATCAGCATTCTGAAACTTCGAGCAGGATGCCATCACGTCTTTTTTAACATTACAAGTCCCTTTTCAGAAAGACTATATAAAATGCTTGTTGCTAAGTAAGTACAAATCAGTAGATATATCAACTTTCACACCTAAGCAGAAATTCTTTGAGGGTGGTGTGAACCAACACGTCTACATCCTTGAACACCTTCTCCTGCTATGTTCTTTATTTACATAGCTTCAAACAATAGCTTTATATTGTCTCAAGTTTAGCTTTCTACTTTTGCCCAATCTTTTTCATCCAGTCAACCCTATTTCTAACTGCTCACTCTGAGCCTGGATGAAATTGTGTCTTTAATCATGTCCAGTCCTTTTCTGCATCTTGTGATGCAGATCTTACTTACCCATTCACTACTTTCTCTAGCATTTTAAGACTCTATGACCTAAACCATGAAAAACTTTAATTTTCTGTAGGTATTTGTGAAAGCCAACAGAATTATCTTTAAAAAAAAAAAAAAAAAAGCTGGAGACAGCCTTATAAAGTAAAAGTATGTCCAGGTATCTACAGTAGTTTCCCAATGTGATTATTTTACCTCTAGCTTAAGTCTCTGGAACTCTTAAAATGCATACACACAGTTCAGCTTAAGGAATTTTCTTTTTCCTTTGTGACATTACTGTTTTCTACTCAAATCCTTCTGTCATAGTCACGTTATTGGTGTCAAGGACCAATTTAAGGACGAATTTTTGATCTGCTTAATCAGTGAGGTTCTTTTATGAGGGCTGTGGTAATACAGATGTTGAAAAGTGGTTAGTTGGTACAATATTATATCTCATTTGCACCCATGAAGTATCCCTCCTCATCACTCTCCCAATCCATAAAAGAGCCTCCTAGCAAACACGTTGCACATTTCATCCTCACAAGCTGGCACTGTTTGAAGGAGACATTAATTCCCACATCATCACCCTGCACATAGACTTAGATACTGGCTTGTTATTAACTGTTTGAGGACTCTACAAATGGCTGTGGTTAGCTCCCAGCATATTGCTACTCCAGCCCTCCCTTTGAAACTGGCACTACCTCGACAGCTCACTCATCAAAAAAGAGCAGCCCAGAAAGTTCTCTTCACCAAGACAGCCAGGGATGCTTTGACTTAATTATTACAATCGATTACATTGGTAGTGCTTTGTATTGAAGCAGTTTTATTGAAAAGATTGATTTTTTTCATAAATAAAAAAGGATATATTTTAAACTTTTTTTCACACATGAACATAAAAACCCTGAAAGCTTTTAGAAATGAAAATTAACTATACAAAAATTAGGCTATCAATGTTAAATACTTAAATTTTTGTTACTACTAACTGAAATACATTTATATCTTCTATCAGTATAAAAATCTTCTTAGTAATGGTTAATACAACATGAATATTTCCTTTAACTGAACATATTCACATTTTCAATACAGAGCTATTTCCAGAAGTCTCATCAGTCTATGCCTTTCTCTTCCGTGGGGTTCCATTAAGTTCCGAAGCAGATATTTGCAGTGGTTGCTGTTGCTGCTGCTTCTTTGTGGAAGAGGAGATCCATTCTTCGGTGCTAAACAAAAACATAGCACAACAGCTTATAAACAAAGCCTCTTTTCTATATACATAGATACAATGTCTTTTAAAAATTTATGCAATATTTGATGTTACTGATGCAAAATCACTAGTATAAATATTATAAACCCCGAATTTCTGCACAGCTTCTTATTCTTATAGTTATTTTTTAAAAATTAGGAATAGCATCAGGCTATTATTAGACAGTTTAAATACATAACCACTTCAGTTCTACCTGTGGATAAAAAGATTTAAAACAACAACAAATATAAATAAAAAAGAGACTTAGTAACATAGTGAAAACTCATTTTAAGATTTACAGAACACAAGTGAGTAAGATTTAAAGAATCTAAAAAATACGACCATAGTTCAGCAAAGACAAGGATGCAGTCATGAGGAAAGACATGAGAAATATAAAAGTCAGCTCCATGACATTTTAAAGATACAGACTTGCAGATTTCCCTGATTTTATTTTGTGTGTACAAATGTTCATTAGCCACAGAGGCAGTATAGTAGATACACAGATAAAGAGAGAACTGTGTTAAATACTTTACCACCAGCTCAGACAGTTATTTACAAAAAGTTATGTAAGAATAATTCCTTCTCTGTCCAACAACTGCCCAGTTTTTGACATGGAACCTTAAAAGAGTTTGCAGACCAAGCCATCTCATGAGGTATAACAGAGCTTGATATACCAGAAAATACAGGGAATGTGAATGCACAAAGATGCAAATCAGTCAGTTAGTAAAGACAAACAGAATCAGAACTAGCAAGCAAATCTTTATATCAAACTTAAATAACAGCTGAAACTTTAAAGTAAATAAAAATTACCTTGAACAAATCAGCCTTACACAAACTCTACTCAGTTACTGCATACAAATATGAATTTAAAAAAAAATATCTCCCATGCAAAAAAAAAAAACCCGAAGTAGTTTTTGCTTTGAATTCAGGATATGGGAAAGTAATGACTAGATTCAGAAGTCTTACCTATACAATTTTTTTACTGTTTCTCTTCGCATTCTTTTGGGAGGGATGGGAGTGTCAGACATATCTAACATTACAGGCTGAAGTAATGATTCAGTGACTTTATCTGATGGAGTCATACCTATGAAAAAGTTGCAAGTAAGAACAAATTTAAAAAAAATATTAATCTTACTGGTTAAAAATGGGCCCTGTGACAGCAGTGTTAAACCTCTGAAGTAAGGCTTTAGACATGCCATAAATTTTAGTTACCTTATATTTGAAACTGAGTTCAAAGATGACACATAAATACATTTGCTTTACAGTTGTCACAGAGTAAACATTTTTTAAAATATATTTTGAAATATCATAAATTATTTGTTATTAACACAAAATAACATTTCTAACTGAGAAATGCTATCCTTCCAGAATTACGGGTGTTTCTTTTTATAGTACAATGTTTTGTTTGTGTTTCCTTAGCAAAAGCAATTCAGCTCTTTATTACATAGTCATTTCAAAGAGAATGTCAACGTTCTCTACCACTGGGTCAGCCAGACTAATAGTTATGTAATCTCATATTAGTGAGATCATAGTTTCATGTTCACAAGACACTAACTGACCACATTTTTATTATCTGAACACATTATAAGGCAGTGCTGGCCTATGCAATATCCACAGCATCATATCACATACAGTTTTTCTATTCTTTCTCTAAAATGAGCCATCTCCAAGTTCTTAATTTTAACAATCTTCCTTCATAGTTTGAACTTGTTAGTTTGTAAGAGCAGAATACATATCGATGGAGTTAACATTTCTCCTCCTGCAGGACACCAAAAATGTAATACAATAACCTACCCAATTTTTGTTCTATTAGCTTGAGGCTTTTCTCTTGTTCGGCAAGTTCCTGTTTTTTCTTTTGCATTTCTGGAGTGTTAAGTGACTGCAAATGTAAATCAAGGTCCTTATTCACATTATCAAGTTTCACCACTGCTGCACGGTATTGCTGAAGAAGATCTAATTGAATAATAAAATAATAAAACACAAACCAGCAAATAAGTGGTCATTGTGATGTAGAAGGCTACCAAATACAATCTAGACAATGTATGAGAGTCACAAGAAAACATCTTTCAAAAGCACTACTTAAAAACCCCACCCAAACTTACGGTGGACCAGTGGCTGTTCTTAAAATGACTGCAAAGACAGACTGAAAAAAATTTACACCTAATATTTTGATTCCTCTTTTCTTTTTGAGCCTGTACCTTAGATCCCAGTAAAATACGAGCAAACTCTGAAAACGATGTGGCAAACAGGTTTTTCTTTACACATCTTGTTGCTTGTGCACTCCAAACTGAACTCTTTACCTTTGATACCATTAAGTGTGCTTGTAAGTATGTTTTGCTTTTAGTGCTACAAAACTGAAGCTCGTACTACTGACTTGAATTCTAGTCCGCCTTGTGGAACAAAAGAACATTTACTGAGTTTCACTTTGTCCCACCTATGGAAATTTAAACAAGGAGATAGATAGCAGTAGACTCAGGTAAAACAAGGGCATACTTTGCTAACAAACTTTGTTCCTCTTTTAACATGAGACAAAGAATGTTTCTTTGTCCAGGCATTGAATAAATAGCCCAGGCTCATTCATTTTACATTGTGGTGAATATGAAGAAGCTTACACAAAGCTTAACTGAACACTAAATTTCCTTACATTTGCCATAGGGTGGAAGTGTTCACATGAATAGTTACTGCAGATTGAAAAAAGGCTCTGTAGATTCTTAGTACACTTTATTTTACAAGTACCTTGTCAGTGTAATCACAGTTTAAATAACTACTTTCCTTATACACTACAAAAGTAGAAGAGCAAGATAGAACTAATGTTAAGGCTGAAATTCAGTTCCAAACAAGTTTTGTGTAACAAGGTGCTGTCCTTTATATGGAATTTCACTATTATTTTCCTTTAAATGACTAGTAACTATCCTAGTGAAATTAAAACATGCCCTTTTCTTCTACTATGATTGTTCCTGTACTAAATTATAGACTATTCCAATTTAATTCACAATGGGTAATAATTGAGTTCAACAACTGAAAATGTGTTGATAGATAAATATAAAGTGTGCTAAAACCAGCATAATTCAGTCTGTAGCTGAAATGCTTACTGCATTTTTCTACACGCAATATATTTTTACTGAAATGTCTAGGAAAGATCCTTTCAGTCTTTTTTCTCCCTCAACTGGTCAATACTAAGTAGTTTGCTCGTATATAAGGCTACTCCAATAAGCATATGTGTTCTCTCTCTCTTGTTCTCCCCCCACCTCTTCTGCACTGCACATTTCTAGGAATACTGTAATGAAAAAACTTAATATCCTTTCTTCTGAAATTTAAGAACAACTTTATTTGTGAATAAGACTTTTCAATGTTTTACAAATCAGTCAGGTCAGCTGTTACTGATGAGAACAGGAATTTTTTACCACTGCTTCATTGAGCTCACTTGCACAGTAAGACATTGATGTATGGTGTTTCCAGAGGAGAAAGATCTGAAAATTGTTTTTCAAGGATGCTGAAGTTCAATCTGCTCAAGCTTCTTATGCCTGCTGTTTGAATGACTACCACTGCTTATAGTCTTTCTTTAATAAGACTGAGAAAAAGGGGGAATATAATGATTATTATTTTTTCTTTCAGGGAATTTAATGGCTATAAGCATTTCAGAAAACATATTTGTACAGGTCATATTTCTTTAACTTTACGCTAAATTGAAGTTTTCCTTTTTACATTACGTAAGAGAATAACCAACAAGCAATGTAATTTTGGAAGCTTAGTATTTTCATGACTTCATTAACCCACCTATTTGTCCAGATAAAGCAGAGTAAAGTTTTGGTATGGGTGCTCCAAATACCATTCCTCTCAGTTTGTCCATTGGAGGAGCTTTATTCTGAAGGCCTCCAAATTTTCCATTGCTGCGAATCCTGTCTCCTTCCCTGGTCAGCAAAGTAGGGCAATGTGTAATTTTTACAACCTACAAAGGTATCAAAAGTGATACTGAATTAGTAACTCCAAGGAAAATAGAAGTTTTCAGTAATGCTGTTGTGAAGCTTTGTATCTTTCAACTATGAGGCAGCTTGCTCTAATGAGAATATACTTTATGAAAATACTTTTCATGACTTTTGCTTTCAATTATATCTTAAACAGTACTGTTGATAATTACGACAACTAGATTTTTGGAGGTTTTTTGTGTCCTCCAGAGGTTCCTTATTAGCTTGTTCTTTTAAGAACAACCCTGCAGTACAATTTTTTATACTTCTGGAGAGGAAAAAAAGAAAAATAAAAAAAAATATATGTAGCCCCAAGAGCTTAATGTTTTAAGAGTACAGTTTTACATTCTTACGCTGAATCATTATTTTGATTCTAGCAAACTCATAAGCTGAAACAGAAAGTGCCCAGTGTGAGGACTTCCTCAGAGACTGTTGCCTGTTAAAATGTGTCCCATTAATCCTAAATAAAATGGGTCAGAAAGAGCTCTAGTAAGTTTCACAAAGATTTTAGTGGATATGAAATTTCCTCAGGTGCCTCAGACTTCTGTGTTTTACTATATATACAGGGACTAGGACAGTACTGAAGAACTTGCATTTAACACTAACAGCAAAACTTAAAATGTTTATCTTTAAAAACATGGTTCCAAGCTTCATGGCAACATTCACATAATGGAATTTGTTGAATGGAGGTAATTTTGTCAGTGCCAATAATAAAGATTTCATTCACAGTTAAGTGCATGAAGACCTACACACAGCAAGCACACTTACAGCTAATGCAGCATTAAACGTAGAGATTATTCTAAGTTTGTAATCTATTAAATATGCAGCTATGCAAAACATTTATTTTAAAAAATATCAAGAATAATTGAAACATACCTCTTTTCTGTAATGGTTGGCAGCATCCAAATTATCGATAATGATAGTGTCACCCAAGAGCATCCCAAACACTGAAAAAATAAAAGTTTTTGAACCATGAAATTTCTCTGCAACAAAGTAACTTGAGTTTTGAAAAATAAATTCTCAGGCATAATTATTACAGCTTTTCAGATAATAGCATGTACGTGATCTTTTTCATTGAAATTTTATTCTGAGATTAAGATAAATATGCAATCTTCTGTTTTCATCAAAGAATTAAAATAAAGAAAAAAAAATAGTATGTTTAATTGCCTTATGGCATAACTGATCGCATTCTCCATCAAAGTACTCTCTTGATTTCTCATATTTATGAAGATACACATAATAAAATTCCAAGTCTTAGAAAATTATATAAATGGTAATTTTTAAAGTTTTCCTTGAATTGTGTTCTTAGTTTCTTAATATTCAATGGGTTGTCAAAAAAAACCTTCCTGGGCTGATGATCCAACTGAGTTCAAGATTTTTTCTTCTGCTAATAAAAGACTGTTCTATACAAAGTCTAACTTGATGTAGCCTTGCATGAGATATGTCACGCAATGTGGTTTTTAAATTCCCCCAAGGGACACAAAGAAGAATTTCTAAATAAATTGGACTAAACATTGTAGGAAATGTAGGAAAAGGTAGGTATTGCTACATTGTTAGAGCAAGAGGATGATGGTTCCCTGAACTGAAATCTAAGTAGACGTTGAAAGCTTACTGTTTACTGTAACTATTTAAGCATAACATATGTAGTGGATATATAGTGGTGTACAGTTCAGTCTGAGTGTACATAAATCTACGCATTACACATTTTTGAGAAGAATGGGACTGGAAAAAACAGCCTAACAAAAGCAGTAACCTGCAATTATTAAAATATAAAACTAATATCATGATTGTCAGTTTCTACTTACATGAGTTTGGGAATAAAATAATGCTGCAGTAATCTAAAAAAAGAAAAAAACCCTAGCACATAGAGTAGAGAAAATAAAAATAAGACAAGAAGCAGAAGACAGTGGTCAGCTGAAATTTTCACAGCTTGTGTGCAAATGCTTAATGCTAATGTCATCTTCTTTTTACCACCAGACCTCATGAGGAATATACACTGGTATTTGCAAATGTCTCAATGAAGATTAATGAATAGATTATGATTTTTGATGTTTATTTATTAAACAGAAAGAAGTTATGAAAAATTTCTTTAGTATCATTTACCTGTTTGACAATGCTCTACATTATCTGGAAATGTTAAGAGATCTCTGGCAAATACTGGATTTCCAATAGGTCTGAAGAAGATTTTTCCATTTCTTAAGTGAGGTAAGGGCCTAGTTAATGAATGGAGAGAATAAGGGAGAAGAAAAAAAGAGAAAAAAGTAACTTGTCCTCATTTCATTATTGCTTCAGACAATCTAGTCAGAAATCTCAAATTACACTGAATGCATATTAACACTTACACATGAGGTGCTAAATGATCCTGCAATTATATGAAAAGCCAGTTATATTAATGGTGTTTTGGTGAAACACTAATTTGTAATAAAACATACATCCAACAAATTAATATGACTAATTTTATAGACAAGTTTTAATACACTATTTTATGAAACCTGAGATTTGGGACCTTAAAAATACATCTGCACATTAGATCATTTCTGAAAGGCATTCTTTATTATATTAGCAGCCATCTTCATGAGCAAATTATTTTCAGGCACAGAACTGTATTTTCCTTTATGTTCCAGGAAACCAAACCAGCAGAATTAATTTCCATTACTGCAGATGATTTTAGGGAAATGTATTCTGGAATTGGATTTTTTAAAAAGTTAAGAATTTGATTTGAGGCACTAGAATTATTTTTAAAAAGTTCCTCCTCTAGAAAACATGTAGAAGTGAAACAAAAAAATGGTAGATTGTCTTCTTTTTTTAATAGAAACATCCTACTAAATAAAGAACAAAGCACAGCAGTTAAAGATGTAAAGCTATGATTTCAACTAAACATTTCAAATGACATTACTGTTGCTATAACTAGGAATCCAGAAATTTTGTATTTTGAATGTTTAATAGGAATAAAGTTTAAAAAGCAAATTAGAAAAAAAAAAAGTCGAAGAAGTATGTAATACAAATGCAGAAGTTTCATTGCTTTTTCCTCTACCTGTTCCAATCAGGGAGTGTCTTCTTGTAAATAGAATCAAGGGGTAACACTTGTTGTCGACCTTGAGTTTCATCAAAAATGGAACGAGCGGCTTCAGTAGTCAGCGTAACTACACAGTCCATGTCACTTGCCAAATGCCAAGAGATAACTTTTGCTGCTTCGTTATCCTCAATTTGAGCTAAATGTGCAATCTGTACCACAGAAGTTATGACAGTCAAAACAGAAGCCAAGACCACCTCCCCTTTTCATACTAATCATTATCACCCTGCAACTGCAATCAGACATTTCATTAATTCCCCTGTTGATGGCTCTGTTAAAAGAGCTGGTCATCTGAGGGGTTGAGAATGCTATCTTCTGTTTAATGCTCCTCAAAAATTACTTGAATATTTGGTTGGTTCATTTTTCATCACTACCACTTCCTGGAACCAACAAAATTCATTTGAAGGTGCTCTGAAAGAAAACTCACCTTGCCTAAAATATCCTGGTTGCCTTTTGGATAGTTTGGGAGGGTACAAGTTCGCCTTGGCTGTTTCATTACTCCTTCTTGTTCCAACATCTTTTGTTTTATAAGAGAATCCACATACTGAAGCTGAGAATTAAAATTTAAAGTTAACAAGTATGTATCATTGGGTCAAGCTGCAGAAAGTTACTTTACCTGTTGTCAATCAAATTGCAAACAAAAAATTCAATAATCTGAAACAGACTACTAACATATATAGGGGACCACTGCATATAATCTCAGAGGAGAGCAAAAGAAGGCATACTGCAATTGTATTCTAAATATTGTATAACTACTAAGAAGAAAATTAACTCTATCCTAGCAAAACCAGGACAACTGTGAGCTTCTTTATTACTACTTGACCTGTGGAACTACGGGCTGGTCAGTCTTACCTCAGTGCCAGGCAAGATCATGGAGCAGATACTCCTAGAAACTATGCTAAAGCACATGGAGAATGAGAAGGTGATTGGTGAGAACCAACATGGCTTCACTAAGGGCAAGTCGTGCCTGACCAATCTGGTGGCCTTTTATGATGGGGTCACAACATTGGTGGATAAGGCTAAAGCAACTGATGTCATCTACCTGGACTTGTGCAAGGCGTTTGACACTGTCCCACATGACATCCTTGTCTCCAAATTGGAAACATGTGGGTTTGATGGATGGACCACTCAGTGGATAAGGAACTGGCTGGATGGGCGCACTCAAAAAGCTGCGGTCAACAGCTCAAAGTCCGAGTGGAAACCTGTGACGAGTGGTGTCCCTCAGGGGTCGGTGTTGGGACCAGAGCTCTTCAACATCTTTGTCAGTGACATGGACAGTGGGATTGAGTGCACCCTCAGCAAGTTTGCCAGCGATACCAAGCTGAGTGGTGTGGTTGACACGCTGGAGGGACAGGATGCCATCCAGAGGGACCTTGACAGGCTTGAGAGGTGGGCCTGTGCTAACCTCATGAAGTTCAACAAGGCCAAATGCAAGGTCCTGCACCTGGGTCGGGGCAACCCCAGGCACAAATACAGGCTGGGTTTGTGACTGAAGTTGTGATTAATGACTATAACACTTTTTAAATTTGATCTAAAGATAACTGATTGTTTACATTTTTTTTCAAAATGTTAGTAATTTGATAACTTTCTTTAAAAAGTTTATTTAAAATATAATTGAATCTCTATGCGAAATTAGCATCGCCCTGAATCTTTCAAACCTACATTTAGTAGAATATGAAATTCTCTAATTCTCTGAAGTGTTTTCCTGTTGTCTACCTATGCCAGAATACATCCAGTGTATATTGTTCACCCTGCAAAAACCCATTAAGAAAACTAGCAGTACCAGAAACACAAATGGTACCCTTAGCAGGAAAGCAAAAACAAAATCAGGATACAAGAGAGAAGTTTTTCTTATTTCTCTAGCAGTTTCTTTAAGAGATAGTCAAACAAGCACAACAGTAAAAAAAAAAATAAAAAAAAAAAAAAAAATTTGGCATTGATCCACAAGTTTTCCTCACGGTTTAAATTTTGAGGGTTTCGGGGACAGGTGCTTGTGGATAAACCAGTGTGACTCAATAATGTTATATAATAATATCAATTTCATATTAAGATTAGATTTATTTTAAAGATGTTATGGAATTTAGTAAGAAATAAGCCATACTGTGTTTATCTGTGGCAATTCAATTTGGTGTTTTTTCAGTTCGTTCTTCAGGTGAGTTTCTCTTGTTTCAGCTTCTTTAACCTGACCTGAAACCAATAAAATCAACAGAGAGGAAGGAAATATTAGAAAGCAATGAAACCCTTCTTACGACTTTTCAAAATTATGCCACCCACAACTGACCCTATCTACTACTTAATTTCAGCACAGAATATCAGGATTTGTCCACAAAGATCTTGTGATTTCTCCAGCTTCTAAGCAATTTCAGCAGCTGCTATCTCCTTCAGTCTGGGAATGTAAGCTCTTTTTTCTTTTTGTCCTCAATTATCCCTCCAAATGGTTCTCTAACAGGCAAAATGACAACAGGGAAGGGAACAGTAGTAGCTGGCACTACCCTCTTTTGTCTCTGATATGGGACACCACTGTCTGGAGCCTATTTCCTCAACTCTCATATCTGAACTGAAACAATTTTGAAAACAAATGAGTAAATAGGTAAATTACCTCTCACTCTTCTCTATTCAAACAGGTTTATATTTGGAAATATGCAAAGAACTGCAAACGTGAAACAAAACTTTTTGCCTTTCACACCAGAATTCAGAAGTTTGCATCCATAATGGAAACATGTAGTAAGCATGTAACATAGTCCTGTACTAAAATTACAAGAAAGAGCAGCATCTTCTAATTTCAGCATGTTTTATTTCCATTTAGTATCTACTTAAAATAAAAATTCAAAATGCACCTATTAAAACAAACTTTTTGCTCAAAAGACAGGATGATTCAAACAAAAAAATAATGCAAATAAAACATTTCCTTCATCTCTCCTGTTCTCATAAACCACTGCCCTCACACTGCTCTGCTGTTTAATAGACTTCATAAAGGATTCTATTTGCTGAAGAACATAAACAATGAATAGCTACACAATACTTTTGAATAACATGCATAAAATTAATTCCCAGGAAATATATTTATATT